CCAGTGATGCAGACATGCATGCAGACGGAACACATAAAATAGAAAAAAAATAAATTATTTTCTTAAATGAACTAGAGTGGGGGCACTGGAGAGATGGCTCAAAGGTTAAAAGCACTGGTTCACCTCTTCCAGAGGTCCAGAGTTCAATCCCCAGCACCACCTGGTGGCTCACAACCATCTGTAATAAGATCTGGTGCCCTCTTCTGGCTTGCAGGCATACATGCAGAACACTGTATACATAATAAATAATACTTAGAGTGACTACGAGTATGGATTCTGGGGGCTGGGGTGATGGCTCAGTGGGTAAAGTGCTTGCTGCCCAAGCATGAGGACCTGAATTCAGATCCCCAGAACCTATGTAAAACATGCCAGTCATGACTGTGTGCACCTGAAGCTCCATGCCAGGAAGCAGAGACAGGCAGATCCTGGCCTTGCTAGCCAGTTACTCTAGCAGAAATGGTAAGTTCCGGATGCAGTGAATAGACCCTGTTGCAATGAAATAAAATAAGGTGAAGAAATGATTGGGGAAGAAAGACACACTAACATTGACCTCCAGCTTACACACACACACACACACACACACACACACACACACACACACACACACACGGGGGGGGGGGCATCACAGCGGGGTAAAATTGCCTGCTATTGTATATCTGATGAGGGCCATGATAGCTGGGTGATGATGGGCAAGGGGTCATCGTTTGTAAAGTGAGATGAGAATCAAGGCTACCAAGAAGAGCAGTGATACAGGCAGAGTACTGCCGGCCTCGAGGTAATAAACGCAAAACACCTTTAGCAGTCTCCTCCGGCATCCAAGATTAATCCACAACTCTCACTCTCCAGAGGGCCTCCCCTCAGACACTCGGGCCTTCTCCTGCTTCTTCTGTCTCTAGGTTCCTCTAGGAGTCCATGATGCAGCACGGCCGGGCCTTTGCTGTTGTTTCAGTGACTCACGTGACCTGGTGCTGCTACCCCCACACACTCTGCAGGAACATGTAATTTGCTTTTATTGGATCTCAGAAGCACAGAG